AAAAACGATAACGCAAGGTAATAGTATTGTGAATAGATTAGAAACAAATTGGCAAATAACAACTTTTGAACGCAACGGAGATGTTCTTGATGTCACGCAACCTCAAGTACCTGTATATGGTGACTGCTTTTGTTATTTGACTTCTCGATGCAAAGCGACAACTGGTATCTATAGGCTTTATCGTTCAAATATAACCGACATTCCTGAATATTGGCAGCTTGCTGTAAAACTAGTACAAGGAGAACTTGAATTCGAAGTTGAAGGGATTAATGTTGGTTGTTTTACTCTGGATGCTGTATTGCAATCAAATTTATCGTGTTTGTACAATGCCTCATGCTTAATTCAGTTATACAGCTATCTTCATGACTCACCATATCCAATGGCTACGGGTAACATAACTGTACTCAATGTTTCTTCTTCTTCTTCTCCTCTGCCAACAGTGGAAGAATTAGTTGGTAATTTGATGGTTGACAAATGGCAGCTTAATGTATCATATGAATCATACTTTAAGGAATGCAATTCGCAGTCATGTACCTACACGTACACTCATCAATTTGACACGCTCTTCATAATTACGACAACATTTGTCTTTCTTGGAGGCGTTGCAACTATTTTCTTATTGACAGTATTACCAGTGGTTACATTTCTTCGGAAATCAATGACAACATCACAACGCAAACGTTCGACAGTTGCGACTGCCGCTAACAATGATTCTGGTAAATCAGTTCTGCATTATCTTTTTTCTTTTGATTTTTCGCACCGTGTGTAACTCTCACTTTTTAGAAGAAAGACAATTAGAAGAAGAGCGAACACATCCAATCATCAAAATTAAGAGTTTTATTCTCAATCTTAATTTCTTTAAAGATCCTGAACAAGAAACTGTTTGGCACTTAGACAATCAACGTCTCTCAACTCGAATCTTTCTCGCTTCAATGATCATTGTTCTTTCATTTCTCATCCTCTTTACTTCATTGTCCTATACAACACAAACCGTGATCGTACAACAGCCATCAGTGGATGTTTATAGTCAATTAGAAACACACCCATATGCAAAAACACTCGTCTGCCCATGTACATCAATTTTAAATGAATACAAAAATTTCATATCGTTTCGACCAACATTTCACCAAATTTGTTCGAGCATTTTTTTAGGTCAACAATGGTTAGATTATTTGCTAAAAACAAGTGCTATCATATATATAAGAGACTTTCGGGCTGCTGGTTTAGCATTCTTTCCACTTCTTGGAACACTTTGCAATCTATCATTAGAAACAATTAGCACTGAACTGTTGAACTTCAATGCAACAAAATACGCTACAAAAAATTTACAACCACGCGATCTCTTTCAATCTGAGGCACAGCAAATTACAACTTTATTTCAGCAAACAACTAGAAATTCATTTTTATTACAGTTAGCCATTTTTCAACAGACAATTAGTAGCAATGCATTATTCAATGGATGGCTAACAAATTATTTTTATGGACTGTCAAATGTGACTGATTCACTCAATATAGTCTTTTATCCGTCTTTCTACACGCCCGACGATAATGATCTTAATATTACTTGTTCATGCAAATATTCTCCTACCACATGCGGTCAATCATCTGGCATCTATAATCTTACAAAAGGGCGTGTAAGATAAGATAAGCGTGCTTCTTCATTTAGCATAATTTCAAACAAAGAATCATACATTCAGAATCAGCGTAGAAATCATGACAAGACAGGTGGCTCAGTTTTCTGCGAATCTCACTTGCACTCTTTCTCAATTGAGTTCATATTCGTACTCATCATTCATTTTTAATTCGAGACATGTCTCTCTGAACATGCTTTGAAGTAAAAATTGTTTTCGTGTTCTAATGGTGAATCAAATTAGTCATTAATCCTATAAGATTCTTATGCAAAAATGCATGCGAAAATCGCAGAAAATTGATTCGACTACCTTGCTCTGGCTTCGACTATGATTCTAAGTATATCATTATTTCTTCGAAACTTTGCCCAATAAAGAAACATGCTTATCATACATTATTCTTTTAGCCCACTCTTTTGTATATTGTGCCTGGTTTTCGTAGTGGATGTTCTATTATCGAAGGAATGTTTTCATCATCATTGCAATTCCTTTTCGAACAATCATGTTTAGACACAATCTACAATTTGATTTCTTTTTCATCATCTAGCCCGCTCAATGCGACGGCTATGGTTTATAATTCGACAGAAAGTCGATATAATGTGACGACAAAGATACAAGATATTATAAACAATTTGATGATTGAAAAGTGGAATAATCAAACATTATTCGACTCCTATTTCAAACAGTGTAATCCGCAAACCTGTACATATACTTACAACAAACAAGCTGATATGCACTATATGATAACAACCATTTTTGGACTCATTGGCGGATTGACAACTATATCTCGAATGCTTTTACCACCTCTTGTCAAATTTGTCAGACGAAAGAAGCGACCACCAATTCATTTTGAAGAAGAAGATGAGAGTGAGTACGAGATGTAGTGTTCATTGCCATTGAATTCGCTCTAACGGGTGTCCCAGAATGAATGTTTCTCTCAATATTGGGAAATCTCTCGCTCAAATTTTGACGCATACATTGGAATATTTTTTGCACAAGATAATCCATAAAGTTTTTCCTCAAAAATCTTCTGAAAAGAGATCTTCTGGCGAATCAGTGTGAGATCATATCAAATCCACTCTACAATGTTCCAAAAGGGCCCACTTTAAAAGCATTGCTGTTTATATTTACGATTTTTTACTGCTCTTTATTCCCCTCATCGGTGTTTTAAGACCTTTCATTAAACTCTGTCGCATTTTTTGAATTTTTTTATATCTAAACAAGAATCATTACAGATTCAGATTTATTACCAAATTAAAGGAAAATATTTTCTGTGTCATTTTGATAGGAGCAGAACGCTAAGAGCTGTTCTTTTTGCATTACTTAAGATATGGAAAGAGAAACATTGATGATTTCAAATAGACTGGCCGATGGAAACTTTGAACCCTTTCCAAATATATTTTTTTAAGCTTCGCTAGAAAGAGTACAACTGAAGATATAGAGAAATTGTATTACAGTGATGTCTCGTATCTGCTTAGCTAGAAGAAGTGAAACGATCAGTTTTGCATAAATGAGCACTTGAAAATGGACTATTGTGAAGCATTGCAGTGCTGACTCAATATAATTCCACACTCATTTATGAGAAAAACTCTTTTCACAAGACTTTGTAGAAAATTTTATGGGCTATCTTGTGAAAAA